GCTGTGACATAGACTGTAGACCTCAAAGCCCCAAATAGTTAACTCTTTGCTTCTTGATACAAATATGTGAGTATGCTTGTAATAAATCATGATTACCATGACTTGTCTTTCCATCTGTATATTCTTATGTACCATTTGGTTTTTTAAAATCAGGTATCATTTTTACAGATGTAAATTTATTTTTAAAGCACTGATTAAAATAGAAATTCAGGAGAAAACTGTGGACATGTTTTTTATTTTTAATCTCTTATGGGCCATCACGAGGACAAGCTTGGCCGAAGGAAGAACTTTCCATCAGCGCTAAATGGACGCAGATGGCAAGGACAGAGAATACAGGACTTCCCTTAGATGATGTCAAAGGGGCAAAGTGAGCTGTATATGATGAAGCAGCACTTGGCCATGTAGAATGTAGGAGAACAGCAGTGTCACCTGAGCACAGCAGCAATGCTGGATGCTGTTGTCTTGGAGGCAGAGGCCATGCTGGTCACTTACTGAGGCACCGTCTCAAAGTGAAGAGAAGGCTAGAGGTGGCAGATGAGTGGCAGAGTGCTTATCTAGAATGTGAAAGACTCTGGGTTCAAGCCTCAGAAATGGGAGAAGAAACATCAAACAGAAAGGAGGAACATGAACACTCTAGAATACATAAGCTACATACTTGATATGGAGAGCGATACCAACAGCACTGCTATGCCTGCTAGACATTAAAAATGAAGGATAATGCATCTGGGTTCTTTAACACATTTATGTACTAGAAATGGAAACAGATAAATGAAAGTAAGTCTAGAGTTAGACGAAAACAACTTTAGGAAGGAGGTTATCATATTAAAACAACTAATTTCTGCTTCTGGGTTACCTCACTCAAGATGATCTTTTCTAGTTCTCACCATTTGCCTGCAATTTTCATGATTTCCTTATTTTCAATAGCTGAGTAGTATTCCATTGGGTAAATGTACCACAATTTCTGTATCCATTCCTCAGCTGAGGGACATCCAGGTTGTTTCCAGCTTCTGGCTATTACAAATAGAGCTGCTACGCACATGGTTGAGCAAATGTCTTGTTGTGTAGTTGAGCATATTTTGGATGTACGCCTATGTAGCTGGATCCTGAGGTAGCACTATTCCTAACTGTCTGAGAAAGGGTCAGTGGTTGTACAAGTTGACACTCCCACCAGCAAAGGAAGAGAGTTCCCTTTTCTCCACATCCTCTCCAGCATGTGTTGTCACTTGAGTTTTTGATCTTAGCCATTTTGATGGGTGTAAGGTGAAATCTCAACATAGACTCAGTATCCAAGTGGGGTCCCTAGCAAGGAGAATAGGAGCGTTCTCTGGCATGAACTCAGTGACAGGCTCTCTGATCACCTCCCCCTGGCGGGGTGCAGCCTTGCCAGGCCATAGAGGGAGACAGTGCAACCAGTCCTGATGGGACTTGATAGGCTAGGGTCAAATAGAAGGGGAGGAGGACCTCCCCTATCAGTGGACTAGGGGAGGGGCATAAGGGGAGAAGATGGAGGGATGGTGAGATTGGGAGGAGATGAGGAAGCAGGCCATAGCTGGGATACAAATTGAATAAATTATAATAAAGATAATAATAATAAAAAAAGAAAACAGCTAATTTCCCATTCTTCCTTTTGGTAACCACTGACTCCATCCAATATAAATGCAGTACATTTTGCCTATAATAACATGTGACTGTATCATTAAAACTAATCAGTGTCGTTTCATTTTAGCAGTGCCAGTATTTTGGTCAGCTAATTCTTTGTTGTTTGTGACTGTATCCTGTAGGATGATCAGTAGCACACTCAGCCTCTTCCTGCTGAATACCTGTAGAGATGCTTCCAACTAGGATGACTGATAATGTCTCCAGACATTGTTCTATGTTCCCTAGTTCAGAGGCATTGCTTTAAGCTTTGAATGGAAAACTTATCCTCTTGAGTCTAAATTATTTTACATTTTGAAGGCCTGATTTGACTTGTGTTCCAGTGAAACTTTGCATTGAAACAATGAAACTTTAATTTCATATGATTTTACATATTGCAAACATTTTCTTCTTTATAATTTTATTTTTAAATTTTAAATTAAATGTAGTTATTTACTGTATGTGCATGTGAATGTACATTCATATCCATGCCACAGAGCACATGGAGAGGCAGGAGGACAACTTTTGGGAATAATTTCTCTCCTTCCAACATGTGCGTCCAATGAATGGCACTCAGGTTGTTAAGACTTTGTGGCAAGTGCCTTTATCTGTGCAGCCATCACACGAGCCCTTCTTTTGCCTTTTAAAAAGAACTAGGGATTGAATCCAGGATGTTGTGGGCTTTACCAAAACTCTACCATAAGCTACAATTTTACGTTGAGATGGATCTCGTCACCTAGGCTGACCTCAACTTTCAATCTTCCTGCACATTACTGAATTGCAGATGTGTGTGCACCTGCTTCAGCTGGTAAATTTTTACCAAAACAGCCTGGTAGAATTAGGACTGGATTTGTGACAAGAGTGTAGAGCAATCTGAAAAGAACTGAGAATTTACTAACTTCAACCTCCTGGCCTCTGATCCAATCAGAGCGTGAATATTTTTGTTACAAAGGTCTCAGTTCATTTCTGTGAGCAGCACTGTGGGGTTGATTTTTCAGAGCAGACAGACACCTTGTCTACCTTCTATAAGATATTCCCTAGTAATCCACATTTTATGTTATTACAAAATGACATTGTGACTTAGCTTCTATTTTTGATAGCACACAGAAATAATCCTGATTTCTATATATTCATCTTATATCCTGAAACCTGACTGAATTTTCTTGTTGGTTGTAGGAGCTTTTCAAGATTTAAGAGGTTTTTAGATTCCACAAGATATTCTACATTTGTAAATAAAGCTATTTTATTTCTTCCTATCTAGTCTAAATGAATTTTCAACAAATATTGGTTTATAATTGTTAAGCATTAAAATTATAAGTATTAAATTTCCTTGACAAAACATATTTAGATTGTCAGTACCTATGTCCTGTTTCTTATTAAAAATTCATTTCTAGATATTATAAAATCTGGATTTTTAAAGGGCAAACAAACTTTCATCAAAAGGTAGAGTAACAACTTCCTGGAACCCTTGGCTAGAAACCCAGCAGAGCACTGGCAGAATGGAGAATGAGATGTCTTCTTCTAGATCTTTATGAGAAAACATTACATTTTCCTCTTAAGTATAATGTTCACTGTAAGCCTCCCATGAATGGCAATTACTCTATGAAATAAGCACCCTCTTACTGCTAATTTAGAGAATTTTCATTAGGAAAGGATGTTAGACTTGCTGCAGGGCTCTTTATCTCTGGGAACACTGACAATAAGGCGCCTTGAGCAGAGGGCCACAGAGGGCTTCCAGAACAAGTTGGAGGGGAGCACTAAAGAAAGTGGCCTCAGCTGCTGTCTTGAGAAGTTGGGAAACTGTGCCAGTCTTGCCTGGAAGGCCTAGCTGATTCCGAATCCTCTGGACACAGCTGATGTTGTATATTTATTTATTTTCCCTGTCCATGCCTATGACTACTGCACCAGCCCATCTGTCCACAATGCTGTTGCCACATCAAAAGTGCCTAAGGCCTTATTTCTCAAATTCATTTATCTATTTCATTACACACAGGAATCTGAACTGTTCTTGAAATCAGTCGATTAAGAATTACTCATCCTGGAGCTGAAGGGATGGCTTGTTTGGTAAAGCATTTGTCTTCTAAGTGTGAGGACCTGAGTTAAGAGTACCCAGAACCCATATAAAAAACAGGACACAATGATCCGTTCTTGTAATCCCAGCACCAGGGCTGGGGACAGGAGGATCCCTGCGGCTCACTGGCCAGTCAGTCTGGCCTAATTTGTGAGTTTCAGGTCATGAAAGACCCTGTCTCAAAGGAGGTGACACTAATTTAGTCCTCTGACCTCCATATGCACCCTCCCCATGTAAAGCCCTAGCCTCCCTTAAAACTAAAAAGTTCTGGGCTGGGGAAATGGCACAGTGGGTAAAGCGTTAATGGAAAACCTTGAAGATCTGACATCTGTAACCTGTGCTGAGAGAGGGGGTGGGTGGAGAAAGGTGGATCTCCAGACGTGGCTGGCATGCCAGTAGAGTCAACTGGTGAGCGCTGCAATCAGTGAGAAACCCTGGGCTGGGGGAGGGGAATGGGAGAAGAGAGAGGGAAGGTGGGAGTGGAAGGGGACAAGGGAGGGGGCTACAGCCGGGATACAAAGTGAATAAACTGTAATTTATAAAAAATAAAAAACATAAGGTGTAGTGACTGAGCAAACGACTTAGTGTTGAGCTCCTGCTCACAATACACATACACCTCCATACTAAATAAAGTTAGCTGCCCTGTTTCCTAAGGAAGATGGTGTTTCCCAGTTACTTTTATACAGCATAATCATGTACCCCGATCCCAGCAAAGAAAATTAGTTAGTGATGGAAACGATAGGAAAGGTATGGATGACAGCCATAGGGAACCCTAAGCTGCTCAAACCCTGTAAGCACTTGGGGGGACAAGGAGTCTGCTGCTGTAGGCATTGCCATTTCCTGTAATTTGTATTTTACTGGAACACAGCCACAGTCACAGAATGTCAATGGCTGATTCCAGACTACAATAGCAGAAGTGAATAATTAAGACAGAACAAATAATCTTAAAGGGTTATTTATTTATTTATTTATCTATCTATCTATCTATCTATCTATCTATCTATCTATCTATCTATCTAT